TATTAGATTTTGATTCGATACAGAGCAGCGACAAGCCGCATATACGTATTTCGACCTCTTTAGGTCTCCTCAGTACGGTATAGCCACTACTAGTTATATACACTACGACTATTGGCCATGATGAACGGCATTTGGAATGCAATTTTCGATTCCCTTGCCGATTTATTTATCAAGCTGTTTGCTTCGCAAGTTTTAGGAAGCACGGTGGCTGATATTTGAATTCGATTTCGCCAGGTAGAAATCGTATGATTTCTCTTTTTGTTAAAATTATTATCTTTAAAAAACTTGGTTTTGAATTGTTAAGGACAAAGTATATATTTGTCGATTAAGCATTCGAAGCGGATTGATCGTTTTCAGTTTGTGATCGGTGTTGGTGGGTTTAAAGTGTTAAATTTTTAAAATGGAAATCAATACAATTGGTAAACACCACGCACCCTATCGACAAAAAACCAATCATATTTATAATAGTATAGATTTGGATAATAAAGGGAAAAACCACCTTTAAGTGAAAATACAAGTCAAAGGTTCGTGGCTTCACAGGTATTAAAACCACCATTATTACATGGTTTATGTGTATAAGTATTGAAGTAGGTTCAATAGGTATTGAAGTTTTTCCACTTTTCTTGTTAACTGTGTTCTTCTTTTATTTAAAATTAAACCAGATTTTGAACATGTGTTCACAAGGAACAGATTTTTTACAATACTACAATATTTTATGAATATAGTGGTTAAGTTAGGATATACATGGCGATAGTTTTTTCACCACGGTAATGGACAGTTCCAATCTCCGTTCGAAATTTTTTGTGGGTAATATATCATCAGACAAATACATGTCGACTTCTTTTATATCTCTCGATACAGATGTATGTTTAGATGAGTCATGTCCAATTAATTCATCAAAAATACACCATGGACTTAAGTCATCTTTATCAGTTTCTTTTTCTTGTACTGGTTAATTTTCAAGATTTACTAAACTTATGCAAAGACTCGTTTCATCCGTTTTCCATAGTTCAAGAACGAGCTTTTAAAAAGTTTGCAGGGTGGATTCCTGGTTATAAACCGCCACAAGAAAAACTTTGTCAGGTTCATTACTTCAGGAATGTTATATCAAAACTGAGCAAATTATTAGATCACAAGTTGTTAAAGAAGTAGAAAATGTCTATATTACTACTGACCTCTGGACATCTGAAGTAACTGAGAGTTACATCGCATTAACAGGACAATATTTAACCGAAAATTTAGAATTTAAAACAGTTTTATTAGGCTGCTGACATTTTTCTGGAAACCATAATTCGGAAAACATCACTTCTGAAATTGGTGAAATTATTAATCAGTGGGGTCTAAAACGAAAAGTAAATTATGCAGTAACTGATAATGTCTCAAATATGGTCAAAGCTATTAAAGTTGTTTTGAAATAAAAACATTTAAATTGTTTTGCTTATACGTTAAATTTATTGGTGGAGGACGTACCTAAATGCTGTCGTGTACAAATAGATAAAATAAAAAGTCCTTTTTTCGAAAATTCGGCAAAAAACAAATTTCAAAAAAATTACCTTATCTTCAGAAAGGCTTTTAAAGTATCAATTACAACATAACAAAGTTCCCAAACGGCCAATTCAAGACGTGGAAACTAGGTAGAACTTCACCTATTACATGTTGAAAAGAATGACCGAGTTAAAAGAGGCAATCCGTTCCACATTGGTATTAGTTAATACAGACTTAGACTTAAACCAAATCTAAATTAAGAACACTGGATTATTTGTTCTCAACTTTCCAAAATTTTACGGTCGTTTAAAGAAATAAGAAGTACAATGAGTGGCCAAAAATACTTGAAGGGTAGTTTAGTGAGTGTTATGGTACGCTGCCTGCAAAAACCTTGCAATAAAATTTTAACAAACGGTAACCTTACATCCATAATATCCGACGTAGAACAATTACTAATATCGGGTTTAGCAAAAAGATTTAGAGGGTTAGAACAGAGTGGCACATTGTCATTAAGTACATTTATGGATTCACGATTTAAAGTGCAGGGTTTTTCTGATAAAAATGAAGTTACAAAAACAAAAGAAAGAGTTAAGAACCTGGTTAACAAGAAGATTGTACTATTGAAAATCAACCAGTACAAGAAATAGAAACCGATAAAGGTGTCTTAAGTCCATGGTGTATTTTTGATTAATTAATTGGAGATGACTCATCTAAACGTACACCTGTATCGAGAGTCAATTACAACGGTGGAAAAACCATCGCCATTTATTTCCCAACTTAACCACTATATTCATAAGATATTATAAATGTGAACACATGTTCAAAATCTGGTTTAATTTTAAATAAAAAAAGAACACGGTTAACAAGAAGTAAAGAAGCAAAACTTATAAAAATCATGAATGTGTTGCTTGTGTGAGTCCTTTCAAATAAGTAAAGAAATAATAAATAAGACTTACTCACAATCAATTTAATTTAACTATCAGACGACCGGTTTCGCTTTCTACAATATGCAAAGCATCTTCAGGTCTCGATACAAAGTTAAATAAATGCTGAAATAATAAAAACCCATATTAGGGTGTTGTCTAATAAAGATAAACAAAGTAGATGTTGTAAATTACAATAATTATGCCAATATTACATGTCTGTGGTTTTATTTCAAATAGAGTAAGTTGAATAAAAAGGTATAAAATTTAAAAGTTTAAACAGACAAGGTAAGGCCCACAAATTGTTATAAAATAGTCTATTAGATTGTAATAAATTAATAAATGAGCAAATAAATAAACATTACTTACATGCCGGTACTCTATTAATTGATGGATGGTAGAACATGGTTGAAACTACTATGTGTTGTTGAATGGAGAACTCAATTCTGCATTGTAGTTGTTTGACAGTAAACGGAAGTTCTTGAGAGATAGATTGATCCAATGAAGCAGAGAATATGTGTTGAATTTGTTAAATGAAATAATGTAATATACCATTGTATTATTAAAATTCATTTATACTTATCGAGAGATATATTTATGACAATATGTGTTATCATTGAGAATTGTTTATAAAGTGTACATAAACATTACTCAATAAGAATGACACACATTCAAAATATATCTCTCGATAGACAAGTTATAAAGTACGTTTAATAACAATGTATATTACAATTATGCTCATTTATTAATTTATAACAATCTAATAGACTATTTTATAACAATTTGTGGGCCTTACCTTGTCTGATTAAACTTTTTAAAACTTTTTATACCTTTTTATTCAACTTACTCATTTTGAAATAAAACCACAGACATGTAATATTGGCATAATTATTGTAATTTACAACATCTACTTTGTTTATCTTTATTAGACAACACCCTAATATGGGTTTTTATCATTTCAGCATTTATTTAACTTTGTATCGAGACCTGAAGATGCTTTGCATATTGTAGAAAGCGAAACCGGTCGTCTGATAGTTAAATTAAATTGATTGTGAGTAAGTCTTATTTATTATTTCTTTACCTATTTAGCAAAACTTATGTTTTTAAATGTCAATTTAGACGATTCGCGATTTATTAATAACGTACAATGCAAATGTAAGTACGATTTTCTATTTGTATTGTTTGGTTTATTTTTCAAGTTATAATAAATATATCGTTAGTTTCTTTCACTTCAATAAATATACACATAAACGATAATAGCCATTATGTTTGTTTATGTAGGTACTCTCTTACTCGAACCTACTTTTAAACAATCATAGTTACTTGTTTACGAAAATCGGTTTAGTTGCGTTAAGAGCTTAGGCGGGAAATTTCAGGCCAATGTTTTTTTAAATGAATTCATTGTTTTTGGAATCCTGAGAAAACCTACAAATATTTTTAAAAAATTTAAATGCAGAATGAAAGATTACATTATTACCGAGGGCCGAAAGTCCCTTAATATAAACAAAAAGTTTTTTGAATGAGATATTTGAAATTAAAAATCACACTAAATTTTCTCTTCTTTTTTTCACCCCTGTAACTTATTAAAATAAACATTATAGAAGTTTTCAGGGACTTTCGGCCCTCGGTAATAATGTTTCATTCTGCGTTTAAATATTTTAAAAATATTTATTAGTTTTCTCAGGATTTTAAAAAAATGAATGCATTTAAAAAGCATTGGCCCGAAATTTTGCGCCTACGCTCTTAACGATAAAAACGTCAACGAGTTACAACGACCCACCTCTACTACTCGTTACCCTACTTTGATTGATTCCGTGCTTTGACCAGACAGACGTTGTCATCATTGTGTATGAAGATTTTTTAATGTGGCGTTATTGTATGCAGTTTATTATTTCATATTGAGAATAAGGCACAATGTGACTTTAAAATAAGCTTATTTTGATGTTTAGATTTTTAATTCGGAAATCGTACTTAAAATACGAAACATTAATAAATTTTATTTATATAAAACGATTTCCGAAGTGTTATATTACACTTATTGTAAAGTAAACTTGTGGCATATTCCCAATAAAAAACAGTAAGCTGCCATTTAAATCCATTTCGCCCAAATTTGATTATCTTAGAACATTGTTCAAATGCTAAAAAGACAACAGGTCAAATAAAACCAATAAGTTTGGCAACGTTGAACTTCCCCTTTTTTATTATTTCCACGAATGCATTTTTGGCGATATAAAGAGCGGACCTAATATACCTCTCTCTTTTTAAACAGGTGTTTCTCACTCCATCTCACGTAAGGTCCATACCGACCATAAACTTTTACCTATACTGTATCTACCGGCTCGCTCTTTCTTTAGGGATCTATGGAGGAGGATTACCAAGCCCGCAAGTCACCAGGGTATTCTAGTTTAAGTTGCACATCAATTACGAACTTTAAACTACTGCGTTAATCTTTTTTTTTTCTGTACACCGAATCAGGATCCTAACTCACTTCCTCTAGAGAAAGTGCAAGTTCCTTTCGCTAAAGCAAAATGCAATGGACTACCTGCCCCGCTTGGCTATCTAACCAAGGATATTCACATATAAAAAAACAAATTCTTAAGAAATATGTCGTATAATTAATTGTTTATAAATTTACATCTGCAAGTTTTGCGAATCCAATGCGGTTTTTGCCGAAATCGAATTCGGTGTAAACAGTTCTCAGGAACGTATCTCCTAGCAGCCAATCATATCCTTCACCCAATGAAGATGTTTTAATTTGGAAACTGGATACGCATGTATCGTTACTCTGAAATATAAAGAAAAATATTTGTTAGTTAATTTATTTTTTTTGCATTTAAATATTAAAAATGCCAAAAATATGTTTGGAGATTAATTTTGATTTTAAACACATAAAATTTATTTTTAATTGGGATTGGAGTATAAATTAGTCAAACTTTTCACGTCTGAATCGAAATATATAACGATATAACTATTATTTCGGTATTTCTACCTCATCAGCGTTTCAAACTAATTCTGATTTAAACCAGAGAGTCCAACCAATGTCTTTAAAATATTCTCACTTTTCGTAGTTTAAGTACTCAGATGTCACCGGACACTAAGAAGAGAAGAAAAACGATTACATAGAAGAAAAAAAAGACAATTTGAGCAAAAGCAATTGGAAAGCACAGAATTTCTAAGAAATCAAAATGAAACTCGAAAGTTCTACAGACATCTAAACAAAATGCGCAAAGAGTTTAAGCCAAGAATAAGGAGCTGTAAGGATGTAGAAGGAAACATCCTAAATGATACGGCCTCAATCCTAAACAGATGGGTTGAATTTTTCGATGCAAAATTTAATGGCCATCATATCGAAGAAGCAGATAACACCCTAGCAAATCGAAATGATTGGAATCCTTTCAACCAAACGAAAGACCACCTACCATCGAAAACGTTGCCCAAGCCATTAAAAAGCTTAAAAATAATAAATCACCAGGAGTTGATCAAATTTGCAGTGAGCTCTACAAGAATGGTGGCGATGCCCTACTACAGACACTGCATAAGCTTTTACTTCTTGTTTGGCATAATGAGACCATGCCTTGTGAATGGTCTCAAGGCGTGATATGCCCGTTACATAAAAAAGGTGACCAGCTCCAGTGTGACAACTATAGAGGTATAACCCTGTTAACAACTGCTTACAAAATACTAGCAAATATTCTCTACGAAAGGTTGCAAGTTTACACAGTGGGCATAGTTGGTAAATATCAAGTTGGATTCACTCCAGAAAAATCAACAATTGACCAGATTCATTCAATAAGACAGATTCTCGAGAAAACATTAGAATTCAATATTGAAACCCATCACCTATTCGTCGACTTCAAGGCCGCATATGACAGTGTCAAGAGAACAGTGCTATACCAATCAATGCATGAGTTTGGTATACCAGAGAAACTTATCCGACTAACGAGAATAACAATGTCGAACTTAGAAGCCACTGTTAGAATACAGGGAGAGAGTTCTAGATCCTTTGAGATAAAGGATGGACTCAGACAAGGAGATGCTCTGGCTTGCCTCCTATTTAATATTGCCTTAGAAAAGGCAGTCGAGATACACGAATTAGGGACGGCTGGTACTATTTACAATAGATCGATACAAGTCTTAGCATATGCTGATGACATTGACATAATAGGGCGTAGCAAGCGAGATGTTGAGCAATATCTCCTAGAATTGGAAACAGCGGCGAAACAAGTCGGTCTAGTCATCAACGAAGACAAAACCAAGTACATGTTGGTTACAAAGGATCCGACAGCAAATGAGGAACGAGAAAACAGTCTTTGGAAGTCATACCTTTGAACGTGTTGACAACTTCACATACCTTGGGTCGCTATTGACTGCTACCAATAAAACAAGCGAAGAAATCAAAAGACGAATAAATCTTACAAATAGGGCACACTATGGACTCCAAAAGCATTTCCACTCAAGAAACATTCAAAGAAGAACTAAAATTATTATATACAAAACATTGCTGAGGCCGGTCCTCACATATGGAGCAGAAAACATGGACATCTAACGCAGAAAGATGAAAGACTTTTGGGAATATTTGAGCGTAAAATACTCCGCAAAATATTTGGAGCTGTAAACGACCAAGGGCAGTGGCGCAGAAGATATAATTTTGAATTGTATCAGCTCTTTGATGAGCCAGATGTCATAACGTTCATTAAAACACAGCGACTTAGATGGGCTGGACACATAATACGAATGCCAGAAAATACCATTGCTAAAAAGCTAACCACAGGAACACCTGTAGGAAAAAGAAGCAAAGGCCCGACCGCGAATTAGGTGATTAGATGGAGTAGAAACCGACCTACGAATATTAAAAATCAGAAGATGGCAACATGTTGCCAAAAACCGAACAGAATGGCGACGAATCTTAGAGCAGGCCAAGATCCACAGAGGATTGTCGAGCCAAAGATGATGATGATGATGTCACCTGCTTTGCTTGCGAATAACTAAACAATTAAAAAAAATGTTTTTTGTCCTCCGGCCTGTCGAAATGTGCAAATATTAGTAGCTTTCAGCAAAAGCTTGCTAGTGCTCTTATGAAATGGGAACAATATATTATGGCATTGGAGCATAAATTAGTAAAATTTTTCCCGTCTGAATGCGAATCAAAAGAAAAATATAACCGTTATTTCAGTATCTCTACCTCGTCAGCCGATCGAGCTGATTTTTATTTAAACCGAAAAGTCCAAGTAATGTCACCAAAAGCTTACTACTTTCAGTGATTCATTGTTGGATGTATTTTTACTACTATATCCATACCTTAAAAAAACCGTCACATCTCAAAAAAAGTGAAAACGGGACTATGTGAACATATTTCAAATATTCTATATTTTTTTGTTTGATAACGTCATAAAGTTAATTTATGTGTATAGCCGCCAGATGGTAGAAGTGACCTTACTGTTATTCGAAAATTTAGATCGACATTTGGCACAATATTGTCATATTTTGAGATATACCGTTCTCTCCCAAAAACACAATTAAAGAATAATAATTTCTGTGAGGATCTTGAGTTGTGTCAGTCTTGTAAAGAAGTTGAGGTAATGTTTGAATTGAGTTGTAGTCATAGACATGTAATACAAATAGACTAAGCTCTGCAATATAGGTCCGTTCCCGTTGTGTATGGAGTGGAAACGTCACGCCTATTAGAGTTAGATGTAGTGACTGCTTTGCGCTAGTTTTCTCTGCCGGCCTGAGCGAACGGACCTGTATTGCAGCGATCAGTTTATTTGTATAATACGTCTATGGTTGTAGTATTCTTTTGATGTATGTCAGTATTTTAGAAAAAGTTTTTGAATTTTTTATCCCAATTATCAACAATTTATTTCGACTTATATCGTTCTTCTTCTTCTTTAGATGCAAATCCACTAATGGATGTTAGCGATCACATTTTCCATTAATTCTCTATTTCTTGCAATATCTATCAGAGATTGTATGTCGTTAATCCCTGTCCATTGCCTTATGTTTCGGAACCAGGACATTTTCTTGCGTCCCATTCCTCTCTTGCCTTCAATTTTACCCTCGATTATAAGTTGGAGGAACTGGTATTTTTCATTTCGCATGATGTGACCTAGATACGCCGTTTTCCTTTTCTTGATGGTTTCGAAAATTTGGCGTTCTTGGTTTATTCTTTTAAGGACATCTATATTTGTGATTTTCGCTGTCCATGGTATTTTTAGGATACGGCGATAAAGCCACATTTCGAAAGCTTCTAATCTGTTTATATCCCTCTGACCCTTTGACAGTTTACTAAATTCACATCGATTGCGCTCCAGAAAACCTCCGACTAGAGATGCAATAAACTTGAGTTCCAACAATTTCCAAATGAACTCCCAGTGGAAGAACATGCAGAGCGACAGACCGAACCTAATAATGAGAAACACACCATGCATCACAGAAACTCCACCAGGTTTTGACCTCCCCCGAAAATCATGGTCAACTCTTAACAGGATAAGAACGGGTCATGGAGTCTGCGCAGATACCCTTTATAAATGGAGGATGAGAACCTCTGCTGAGTGCGACTGCGGCGCCGAGAAACAGACCATCCAGCATATGATTGCCGAATGCCCTCGGAGGAAGTATTATGGAGATCCTCTAGACTTCGCCTCTGCAACACCAGCGTCGATTGAATATATTAATACATTAGATGTTAGATTGTAACATATATGTGATAATGTTGTGTATCAAATTGCCATACGCTAAATAAAAATAAAAGTTTACTAAAATGAGTTCTAGAATAAACACAAGTTACAATGTCCTCGGACGACAAGGTTCAGGTCAAAATACGCCATTAAAAAACAAAGGAAGGTGCTGAAACGTACAGTACAAGTACAACTGGGTAAAAAGTGCAAGTGCAAAATGGTGAGTGAAAAATTTATGTTTTCTTTAGGTATACACGGTTTAAATGTTATTCCAAAATTATCGATGAATAGAATTCTCGAGTTTTCAATCACTTCTACACTTTGGAAACTAAAAATAAAAAAGGAGTTATTTGGCAGGTAAAATTTTTGGGTTTATATAAACAATTAAAATATTAAAAAGTATCTTTCTTTGTTATATTTAATATATCGGATTATATCGGGTTTAAAAGTAGATACAAATGATGATAAGAAACTAAACGAAAGAATGGAAACATTCATATCACAAGACCTGCAGACGAAAATAAAACTAAGGAACGCAACAAAAATAGTAGAAACAGTCTATGCAATAGAAACAGAACCTTTCACAGATAAAATTGAGTGAATTGAATAAAATCTACATAAATAATAATCTGACTGCAAAATAAAAAAAAATGCAGAAAGAAATAGTGAAAATAGCAAAGAAACAAAAAGTCAAGTCAACAACTAAAAGAAAATACTAAAGAAAAATGCCAAAAAACTAGTAGAAGGAAAACAACCGGAAAGATGTGATACCGAAACGGCAAGGCAAAGAAATACGACCATGGAAAACAAAAAAATAAACACAAAAGAAAGGCAACAGTTTAAGGATATGATAAAAATTGCGACTTGGTATGTGAGAGGTACTTATAAGCAGGGAGCTTTAAGAGACTTGGACCAAATTATAGAAACGAATCAACTGGGATGACATAATAAAAATAAAAAAAGGCACACATTTTGGAGTGGGATTTATGGTGTTGGAGAAGTAAACAAAGCAGTTATAAATTTTCAACCAACATCAGACCGAATATGTCAGAGTCAGAGGAAAATACAGAACGATAAGTATCATTAATGTAGATGCGCCTACTGAAGA